ACTGAAGATACCGAATTAAATTCGCTATTTCGAAATCGTTGATATGTCACAATTCGGTATTTTAGCTAATATCATTGGACAAAGCAATAAACATCTTCAAGCATACAGAATAAACTAATACATCATGAACTAATAATAACTAACCCTTACAAACCAAACTACAGAAAATTAATCCGATGCACGCCAGTGACTTGCTACAGTTTAGAGTTTCCTGAGTTCCAGTGAGAAGTCATGACCAGTGAGGTCCAATTTGATGTCAAGTGTGTGGATGGGTGTCCCAACAACGACAACGGTTTGGGTCGCGCTAAATCACGAATTGGTAGAAGTTAGAATTGACGAGCCATTGAATCGGGTTCCAGTGGCTGAATAGTATACGAGCTTGCCTTGCAACCGGAAGGTCCTGAGTTCGTATCCCAGCGGGTGCGTACTGCCGATGATTTCCAAATTAGGATGGAAAAGCAGCTGTTCAGTTCTCCCTGGTTTGCAACGGTTCTGTGATCAACTCGTAGAAACAGAATACATAGAAAGATAGTAAAGACCTCGTTAGAGATAAGCAATTATATCAAATACCCTTTAAAACGTCTAATGTTCTTACATGTTGACAAACCAATATCATATATGTGCAATGAAAGAAGAACGAACGCAATATTTCGAAACATTGTACTGGTTGACGCTTAATTTTTTGGTAGATATCATCACAATCACCATTTTTCATTGTTCTCACGTCACTACTCACCAACTCTTGAGTTAGTACTGAATGACAACAAACTGTCAATTAACTGACAATTATAATTCCATCATCTTTAGAATAACCAACTACAGAAGCCGATATAGACTATTGCACATACAACGTCCAAAGCAATCTGAAACATTCTCACACACATCAACTGAAAGTTACTGCTTGATTCAGAATACAAATTCTCAGATTGTGTATATACTTCTGGGTTTGAAATTTATTCGTGTAGATTGATTCATTTGTGATACTTTCTATTAAGTCTCTGATAATCGGCGTGATTAACGTACAGGTATTCTTGTCTACTGTTGTTGTCTACTGTTTCGATTCTGAGGACCTAAAATGAATTACACAAGTTTCAAGTAGGACAGGAAGTGCTGAGTCGACTAGGTGACTCCATTCAAAAATCTTAATGACTAGTATAGCGCATGATATATTGAAGTTCATCTGAGAAATGTTTCACTATTCCATCATTGTGATGTTCATAATAAAGGTGATTCAGATGAATTACCTTCTGGTAATGTCAAGGCGATTTATCGATTCTGGAGTAAGAGAAGTACACTCTGCGAACACTCGTAAACTTAAAACGACAAGACACTCAACTAAGTCTAATATGCACAAAGATGAAATATCCAGTAATTATAGATTTTGTGTACTTTGTGTAACGTGTTTCTTACTGTCTAACCCAATCGAAGTAAAAACTATCGTGAGTGTATTCCATCTAACATATTTTTCATTTACTATAAACGAGCCAAGTGAAAATGAATCGTTTTATAAGGACGTTAAACTGAAACATGCTACTTTCAAAAATACACTGAGATGCTCAGTCAAAGAATCAGAGTGCCAGATGAACTTAAAATTTCTTCTTAAACTATTGGTATTATTTGCTTTGAATAACGATGAAATAAGAGAAACTGATTACTGTCAATCACATAATGTGAATGTTGAGCGAGGACAGTTACAACTTACGCAGTACTAGATGGAAGATTCGAGGCTCGGGAAGACGACTACCTACGACTTCTGTTTCAGTCATAATGACTTACAATAACTTGAACAAATATTAGATAATACAGCAAGTGTCGATTCACTATACTCCAGAATTCTACTGACTAACAGACCACATATTATAATAGTATCTATCTGCCTAACGTTTCATTGTCCCATTGTTGCAACGTTTGCTATAACCACAATTAGTCTAGTAGTTCAATAGCCGGTCCAAAACACGGGGAAAGAGGGAAGGTTGACGCGTGGCTGGCGATCCTACTTTGGGAAATCAATCCGATCTCCTACGAAACTTCAAAGGACAGCCAAATTATGAGGAAGAAATCTTTTCTTTGCTGGCGTCGGGTAGATGGAATGCAACAGACTTGTAAAAGCCTTTGAGAAGCCAGTCAGATGGAATGTCTTTCAATGAAAGTAGGAATATGCAAGGCGGCATGGAATGTCGAATATTGTTTGAAGCTTGGAAGACTACTGAATTCGCCAAATAGATGAAAAGATCCGGCATCTCATTGCTGCGAATTTGTGAGAGTAGGAGGAATGAATGTGCACCTTCAAGAATTTTTAACTGGAGAATGAGTGATCTACTCCAGTTTCTTCAATGTATGGTATGAGTGCTGAACTGGGAGCAGTCAGTATGGGACTAAAACTCATCAGGGTCTATAACCTCTCAGCAGAGTGAATGAAAATGCACAATTCTTCAGAGATTTCTGCGACTTCAGTGACTCGGTGATTGGGGGCGGCGTGTACAAACACAGAGGTGGACACAAGGCAACTTTGATTTCGCCTCATAGACACATTGATAATCAGCTAGACTTCATCACGATGCTGCTCAGGAAAGTTGAGATGATGAAAAAAACAGTTCCACAGCACAATGTCAACTGAAGAACAGGCTTCAGGCTAAAAGACCCCAGAATATTACCCTAGATAACTAGGTCTATATCCGTGAGGAGAAGAAGTCGTGTGTGACAGACAACTCACAACGCCACATCAAATGTTGGGGTAACTGTCAGAGGAGAACTCACCTGGTGTGAAGGCATTTGAAGATAGGGAGGAAATCTCGATCATCAAAGGGGTGAAACCAGTGACACACTGAACTGACCACTTTAAAGAACTGCTCAGTGGACTATTGCTTGTAAATCACTCAAAAATACTACCAGCAAACATTCTACAATAAAAGCAAAAGTCCTGAAAATGAAGCAATGAAGTAGTTGGAAGTTGAGAAAGTAACAAGACCAGATGGGAAGCTTAACGACAACGCTGAAATCGGACACAGAGGTCTCAGCGGAGGTATTCACCCCACCACTTCATGAGGAAAGAAAGGGCATGAACTTGCGTGAATTCATGCTCCTCTCCATCTCAAGTAAAATATTTGATAGCGTTGTTGTTGGACACAGCCTGAATTGTAGTCAGCTCTCAGCTCTAACTTCCTAAACTTTCGAATGGCCGTCCATAACACTAAGTGTGAGGAGAGTTACATTGAAAACAAATGAGCTTTCACAAGTTCTAGTTCCCATGGCTGATTAGTAACACCGATCGTACGCCGTGGATATGATGAAATTCCCGAATGAAAGACAAGTTATGCTGATTCTCTACACAACAACGACGGCATACTATTATTATTAATTATCTTACTTTTCCTGCTTCCTAAGTGTGTACTGGTGTACACCAGTAGATCTCAGTCACATTCAGTTATCTACGACCACTTTCGACTTGCTCCATGACTGTCCACATACTTTCGCTTTCTCTACGCATGGTACAGTGCACGTCACGCACAGACGCCCAACTCAACACTTCCCATTCGGGTTCCACTCAGGGGTGTGATGTGTAACGTCACCTGAATATCTATTACTAGAATGTTTATTGGTTCGCTGTCAGCCACAGTTCCTTCTTGATCATCTTTTCCAACCGCCTTCTGATCTTCAGTGTCCACCGAAGTCAGGTGTCGATGAAAATCTACAGCAGCCTGTTGGAAATGCTTTCGGAGACACCCCAATCCTCTGAACCATACAGAGGCACTGACTTGACATTAGTGTTAGGAATTAACATCTTGTTGTTTCTCACGAAGTTCACAACGATCAATACCATGTGTGAGCTTAAACTAGTTCCTGAAGATTTAGAAGTCACTCATAAATATAAGATGTCTGGTAACTGGAGTTCAATGAGCTTCTAAAAAGTCAGACGAATTCCCTGCTAGATTAATTCAACGCTCACATATTGTAAATTTTGTAAGGAAGCATGTCGAAAGCTCTCAGATTGCTCAGTCAGTAATTATTTTGCAGATATACTGAAAAAGAGTTTATGGAATCTCACTAGATTGAGTGATTCTAATTCACTTCCTGTGGATAGTATGGGAAAATTACCGCACTTCACACTTCAGAGGCTAAGTACCGACGATGAAATTCGTTTAAGAAAACGCACGCTGCATGGAATTTGTCATAGATGAAGGAACTTGGACGTTGATCAACTAAATTGGGCTTTTGTTCTGTACAATGTTGTCTCCTCTTTCGAAAAATTAATAATTAATAAAATTAATAAAAATAAAAATTAAGAAATCCTCTTTGCAAAAATGAATATACTTTAGGTTTCAGAGTTCGGCGTCAATATGGGTCTAAAGATACACCGTTGATTCAATGGCAGAATGTTCTCCAGCCACTTGAGGACTTCTGGTCAAATTCTTGTTGGATGCCTTATTAAGCCATACCTAATCTACTAGGCGGTAACTTCAGAAAAGAGATGACATAACAGATGAAGCTATCAACCCTATTGCATACCAAACAACACCACCAACAGTGAAACTCCGGAAACAAAGGAAGGAAAATGGTGAGAAAAGTTGATCTAAACATGAAATCTATTGATTGTTGTAAGCCATCATTTCCTACTGTATCAATACCATTCACAAAACAAAACTAGTCTAGTCTCTTCTCCCTTAGAGCTCAACTACTACGATGATTTCATCTATGTATACTTCATGAATATTTGTGGTTGAAATTATCTCAGGAATTCCTTAGAATCACATTTCTACTCGTTGCGTTGCGTTGCGTTTGAGAATGAGTTTGATTTAGCGCCCAATATGCAACTCTGAAGTCTGCCACTCAGAATTCTCATATAGAGTGATAATAATCACTTGTGAGATAGATAGATAGATAGATAGACAGACAGACACCCAATCATATTTTAGGCTTTTTGTAGACGCCTACGATTGTGGTCAGATGGCAGCATTCTTAGTTTTCCAGTTACATTCGTAATACACTGTTGGTTTTGTAAGTGTTGCACTTGGTCACTGTCGTAGAATGTAAGTACACTATAGATAAGTTTATTTAATATAACACACAGTGATACAGTATTAATAACTGGATGATGTTTTGAGCACAATTTATTCCGCATAAACAGTCACATCAATGTATTCACATGACTTGACTATTGGATTTATATATCCTTTCGCTTCCCTATTTTTATTGATTACAATTTTCCATATATAGCGTATAGACGTTGTATCATTAGGACTCCTACGGTTCGGTATTGATTCAACGAGCAGAGATTCAGTGGTCAACCTCTATCTTAATCTAACGGAATTCCATTTCAAAACTTTCAATTTATGACAGTCTTCGATGCTCATATTGATATTAATATGATTACACCCTCAGGGTGTTCTCGGTTTTCACCTGATTGACTGAGGGTGTTCACCAGCCGATCTCTTGAATTGAAGTGTTTTCACAATTTCAGTAAAGAATAGGTTCATTTACTCTCTGCTTCAGGTTTCACCAGTAGTCGTAGTGTTTCCTACAGGGTGATGATTCTGGCTCCTGGTTAAACGCTACGTTTGCTAAATATACCGAATCAATTAAATTTTCTCATAATTGCTCGTTGTCTAAGTCAAACATTATTCCAATTGTTTCAATGAACTGCTTCTCAGGAGTTGTTAGTTCCATTACATATTCATATTGTTTGTTGAATGCGACAGTTTCTCTTCGAATGACTTCATCTATTTACATGAAATATGTTTATCTTCTTATGTACAAGTCATGCTCCGTAAGTTGTAAGCAGTCGATACAACAGAGACTACAACAAACCATGTTATTATTCTTTCCGAATCTTCTATCCACTCAGCTCTACTGTTAGAAGTTGTGATTATTCCTGTTTGCTTCACTCATTTCATATCCATTGGACACATTGAAATAAAAGTGACTACGTTGTGTCGTTGTTTTGAAAGTGTATATTTGTAGTGACCCTTCTCCTACTTTTGTAGCCTATCCGATCTGTATCCAATAGAGGTGAGTGTTGAATAATGAATCCTTGTGGTATTTTACTAGAATTGCAGGTCGCCAGTTATTACTACTCTCAATCTTCGAAAAATGGTAATAAATCTTTCTTGTATGATAAAAGCAAAAATATCCAGTTTACGAATTTCTCCTAATGGCTTCTAACCCAGAGACACCATCTGAGGAACCACAGATAGAGTAAAAAATGTATTGCCATGTCTAGCTACCTCTCATATTTTCTTAGCATTTGACACTTCAAGATAACGGTGATCTGCATGCAAGTCGTTCTCAACACTCATTTCATTGACTCTACAATATGGAGGTAGTTTCAATTTTCTATCTTGATTCACCAGCTAACTCCGCGATAACTAGCACTGTATAATGTTATTCATGCTGTTCATCAATGAAACGAAGTTATTGCTCATTGAATGCTTTACAAATGCATTACACTTTATTATTATCTCAAAGACAACCAGGTTTGGCTGATCTAAGGTGTCGATGATTTGCTTTCTTCACCAAATATAACCTGCCTAGTGCAGGTCGGAGGAAGTGCCACACAATACATCCACTGATTGCCTGTCCAGTCGCAGTTTTCTCGAGTTTTGTATATGGTGATTGTGTATCGACTATTGTTGGTATCACAGTTTGACGGGTTTCTATTTCCGACTAGAATCTGTGCACACTGAATACATTCAGAATATTTATATTACACATTCACCTTGTATATATGTTTCCTGGTCTGTCCAACTTTTATGCTAAGAAAAGCGATATACCTACTTGTATTTCAGAATTTGTGGTGGCATTGTCTTCACTATTTTGACATTGTTTAAAAACCTACAGTCCATGTTTGCAGTTAATTTTATTCTAAAGAACTTATCGGTAAGTGTATTTTTATCTCAGTAGTTTAAAAGTGTTCATCATATTTCCTCTTTCTACAATTCATGTGAGACATAGCGGACCATTGGAAAATACACAATGTCGAGAGACTTCAGCTCCTTATGGAAGTCACGCTTCCTGTCCAATGTCAGGGAGGATATTACTGAGAATATTTTATTTCAGGCAATACATTGTACCACAAGGCTTTTACAGGAGAACACTCGAATTCTGAAACCTATTCTGTGACCTGTGTTGTCAACTATGCATCCGCTGAGAACAACTCCCTTGTCAGTTACCAGAAATTCATCAATGGTTTGATTATGTAGTTGATATCCAAGTGACACAATATGTTTTGAAGCGATTTCAACCCTTAACTGTTATAAAACTTGAGAAAGTATGCATTGCCCTATTTGCTACATCGGATTAGTTGGAATATATTCGCCAAACACGTAGGCTGAAATCCCCATGAAGTCACTGAAGGAAAGCAAACATTGACGAGACGTTTATGCTATGCCTTTAAGCATTTTATCACACCTCAGTCAAAACACAATTAAATCTGGACAAATAAACTGATTTCTAACCCACTCTAAATCCGTGCCCACAAAACAGTCCTAAGAGGAGGTTAACTTGACCTGAACTGGATGGAGATAACACCAATTCATCTGACAACGACTGAAGTGTGTGAAAGAATACGAGCTCTTCCAAGGTTCGAGATATGTGGCGTTGATGTGTTCCAACAAGTATCAAGACTAGTTGCATGTCTTCCTGTCAATTGACGCCAGTCTAAATAACTTGCATTACTTATTATTCTTTCAGTGATTATGTGATGTATCAGAATAAACCGGATTGATACTGCATTGGTTCACGGTGCATCTCAGCGATGGTCGATTAAAAGATTGTTACAGCACATAGGCGTGAAGTGGGGTGATATCGGAGTTCCGAAAAGCTGCTTATGAATGCGCATAAAACCCAGGTTTCACTCATCAGGTCATCACAAATCCAACAGTTCGAAATAGTCGTTATATGTCAGTCACCACCGTGAGAGATTCCAGTATGTTGATCTGGTGTCTCATATCATCCAGATGCCGTGCTATGAAGCTGCTGAAGGATGCTGAACTCCGAAGACGTAGGTGAAATATGATGTATTACGTATCACTGATGAGAGATGACCGTTGCTAATTTCATTACAAATCGACGAGTTTCGCTGAATGTGAGCCACGTGAAATCAGCTAGCTTGAATGTCTCATCCCATATTAGAAAACACCGTGCATAGAAGTATCGTCGTTTAAATCTCACCGGTCACTTTAATATTTTGAGTAATGCCACCACAAACATATAAATATTATTTGTAATCATGTGAAATATCATATGTTTTATATTATTCTCCAACCTAGATCATCTTAATTTCTGTGGGTACAGCATACTTTTTTCAGTGTGGTGAAATGAGATATCTGTTAATTTCTGTCAGCTCGGCAGTTCTCATCACAATAATAGTCGTTATGATAGGTATGAATTTAAGACATTTGAAAAGAGAGGGATGCTTTTTGCTCATCTCAATATCTTGCATGCTCGTCGTTTGGGGGATCATAGTTTTTTACATTGGATTAGCCAAGGTGAGCGATTCTGTTTGCTAAATCACTTTTTGATGCATTCATCATCACTAGAAACAAGTAATTCAAAACTAGTCAGAGAGCTCTTGACTTCTAAAGATCACATGCAAATATAATGTGATGTATAAATTCAGCGACTAGGAGATATTATATATCTTATGTTCAGATAAAGGCTCTTTAGGAGAAAATAGTGCTTGCTTCCCATGAGTAGAATCATTGGGAGTTTATTGCAAAAGTACGTGTGAATTTTAAAGCTATAGAACGTTCCCTTTAAAAATACATTACACAGTAAGTTATATGGTTTAGCACTGATTAATTATTCTATGTTGAAACTGTCAGTCTCTGTTAACATATTCGCTTCCATGTTGGACTCCTCAAAGATGTGTGGCAATTTGCCTGATGAAACTTGATCGATGGTTCCTAGCACTGGAATCCATGATCTGCATTTCATTCTACTCGAGGTTCAGCATCTGAATGCAACTACATTCCCAGTGAATAATGGAGTGGCTATTCGGACTTGAACTCACAACTTGAACACCATCACTCACAGCGGATGCAGATACACCCAGATTAAGAAGAAACCCCAGTTATGGATTCTGCTGCAGGACACTATCAGTCAAGTTAATTTGCTTTCTTTATTAGAGTTGAACTGAGTTAAGCCGCTGTTTTGTTTGGTTCGCTGAAGCCATTTAAACGTTTTACGAATTGTTCAATTCATAATCTCAAGTAATAATTATCCACTGTCGACTACTGTGTGGGACCTGTTCAAGAGACTTCAGCCTCTTGAATATTCTTCATAATGAGATATATTATCAACAACCGTTCTCTGTTACACGGGTGTGATTATCAGGTCAATTCACTCCCTGTCAGTCCTCTGTCAAACTTCAAGTCTTGCTTTACACTTGATTAGTAAGAAAAAGAACATTTCAGTGGTGCCCTGTGACACTCATCAATAGTCCAAATCCAGGGACTAATGAACAGAGAAAACCAAGTTGTCATGATAACAGCTGCCTAAATCAATGCATCAGAGGAGATGAGCAAGAGCGCTGGAATTACATAGTGCAGTAAATAAAGGAAAGGATGAGTTGTAATCAGGAAGCAAATAGAAGCAAATGGAAATGTGATACTACGCAAGAGAGATTGCAAGATTTCGAAAGAAACAAAGATGAATGTCGTCAGCATGATAGCAAAAGTGGTAGAATAGGTTTCTTCAGTTTCCGGAGAACCAGCTTTTCTGTCTGGATGATTGGAAATTCAGTAATGCATGAGGAAGCAAAAACGTAGATCCATTTAGTAGGTTGTTCTTCACTTTGTGCATTACTTTGAATTGGGTGTTGGCTGAGATAAAATGGCCAGTATCAGCAAGATATTGACTATCTGACCGTTTACTTACCTACTTCTAACATCTCTCAACTATGATCGACAAGGATCTTAAACTCTTTAAGACAGGATACTTCTGTGTGCATATATCATTTCCCCCGTTCCCGTAGGGTCAGACACACATATATGTAAATATAAATAAATAAGTATATATTTGTAACCTGCTGAAGTGTGAATTAATTTACTTTTTTCATTTGGTTTTTATTGAAATTTAGGACTCTATTCTGTTTATGGAATTCGCTACAAGTGCCTGTTTGACGTGCGCTGCAACAATCGTAAATCTTACGCAGACGTTTAGTAGAGAATAAATCTTGTGAACATGAAAAATCAAGTTTTCGGTGTTAATTAGGAAAATACGAATGCATTCACTAATTCCAAGTGTTTGTGAGATGACCTACAAAACAAATTCATTTAATGACTGTTCACTCCAGATTTCAATATGGATTAAGGACCACACTGAAATTAGAAAGTTGTGAGGAAGATGTATAGCTGAAGTCTATATTTTCGGCCTTGTCCTGTTCTCTGAACTGGACAGTTCATGTGCGAAGCATTCAATATTCTTCTGAACAAAAATGCAGTTATTGCAGATGACGCTGTCCAGAAGGAAAACTTCTTCGCATAAACACTCAAACTCACAGAATACAACAACACCAAAATACGCTGAAATTAGTCAAAACTCCTACAGGCCATAAAAGTAATTGCTTAAGATGCACTTAAACTTGTGCTTGTATTTGCAATAAATTCACGCATCACATGTTAATTTCTAATTAAAGATGCATTTGGCTTTAGGTCCATACAGATCTATGTTAACTCAAACATTTGAATCTCAATGAGACTGCCTCTGGTTGCAACAATACGCTAACCACAACACTCTGAGTTAATTTTATAGTGTGTTGAGTAATGCACATATTATTGAGAGCAGATTAGATTTCAGAATGTGATACTTCAATACGCTGAGGCAAGTGCAAAGTTATGTGGAAAATGCAGTACTGCAATATACCATAATAGATGAAATGATGTGCTAAACTCTATTCAATTAACACGTCTCCACCCGTAGAACCATCTAACATCTGAGAATCTCCAAGTTGAATGAAGAATCTGAGTATTTCCAAGCCATCTATAAGTGAAGACCTTGAAGTAGACAGATATTTCGGGTCTGAACTAGACAGCTTCATATCTAACCTAATGAAGGGAGAGGTTGAAAAGACAAATTTATCAACAGTCCATGAGGAATCGTATTCTACAACACAACTGAAACACAATATTAGATCAAACTTGAAGTGAAGATGCTAACATGATTATTGTGAGTTCGAACAATGCCTTGCAGCGAAACATTCAAAAATCATCACATATGTGGATGATTTCCGTTGTCAGCTGTCGAGGTTGAGCGGATCACACTGTTAAGCACTGCAGATTACGATTCCTATGACTATATTTCTTTCATCATTGCGCTATATTTCGCCATTTGCCATTATTGATGTAAAACATAATGATTATTATCAATCGTCTGGTTTTCAGGAATGTGACTGACTTTATGTTGAATTTCATCACTAACTCACATCAATAAGAGAAGAATTGAAAACCGCGGAATACTAGACAGCCGTCTTATTCTAATCTGTAGCTCTTCAACAGTGCAAACACAACACACCGCTAGAGATCGAACTCGGAATTTACAGATTGACAGGCGAACCTACCACTCTCCCACACTAACTGAGACGCTGTCTACTTCCTCTTCACATCTCTGTTTATTATTTCCTTTTCGAACCCCTTATCTTTTGTCTCACTTTGTTTGCCACATGGAGTGCGACAACTCAAACTCTTACACCCCGGCGTAAAGCTCTATGTAGAAAACGATCGGTAGGTCAGTGAGTCAGGGGTTCTATTGGAATATTAAATGCTATTTTCTGATGACTCGCAATATGTAGAGCCACCATCAGTCACTATCATTGGTGTGCATCTGTCCTCAAACCCAATTTGGTGGACCTCTTTAGTCAGGAAACCTCATTGGAAATACAGGCGTTTATCTCCTAGTTTGTTATTAATGCAAAATGGACGTTACATCTGTCCAGTAATCTCTGTTTTCACTGCCTCTCTAACTGATGTCGGTTAGTGATGAAATTCAACTTGAGAACAAATAGTTTTCTCTCACTAATGCAATCTAATCTGTTTTGAATTACAGTTAGAATTTGTTACTGCATGTGAAATGAAACGCTGCAGAGACGGTGATGCATCTTTATTTAGCTATGAACAAATAGCTTTCCTTCTATGGGCAGATATTTTAGCAATATGCATATCAATAGGCATGTTGTTTTTGGATAAATTAGCACTATGTGACTAAAGCAACTGTATCATGTTCATTTGAACACTTCACCTTGAAGTTCGTAAAACACTTGTACACACAGTATAAATCATTGTAAAACTGAAACGTATTTTTCATTTTCATTGTCCATACACTCCATGAGGTAATTAAACATTTCAAATACAGACTATTCAGTAATGAATATACAATAACATTCTCATTGGGCTCTGCACTTACACATACATTCAGTACAATACAATGTAAAACAGAAAGTGTTTGTAATCAGGGACATGGTCAAAATATAAATATTAGGAATGTATTGATGCTATCCGAGTAATTAACTTCTCCTTCACGAAATATTCCGTTGACAGGGGCAATAAGATTCCATTAAATGAGTGTAAAGAAGAATGTCTGAAGCATATGATGAATTTTAGTTCTAGGGAGAATTACACGGACGGATATACTGAGTCGTAATTGGTTCTCTATTGAGTGCAAATTTGCACACCTATTGACGACAAAGCTAGGAAATGATTCACTACACCATTCAGTGAGAAAGTTTACAGTTTATAAGAAGTGGTTGAGGGATTCATTCAGCCGCTGTCATTAAGGAGATGAACAGTGATGAGATACTTACCAGATTCAACTAAATACATTTATCTATGCAGTTTACAAGTGAGCGAGAATGTGTGTGTGTGAAGCATGTTCTTGTTTCAGTGTGAGTATATGGATCAATAAGAAGGTATTCGTGTAATAGGAAGCAGTATGTGGATTGAGAGGCAAATGCACAAATTAGCCTTGTTTCCTTGGAATACGAGTGATGTTTGATAAGATCTCTGAACAACAGAATAGATCATACCGTTGAAGAAGTGATGACCTCAAAAGACACTTTACTTGAATACAGTTATCCAGAGGAATCCATTAGAAGACACACCATGAAAACCAGAAAAGAAACATTTTTCGACTGCTGATAGTAAAAGCCGACGTACATTTGAATGCGATTAGGCAGAGATGTGCTGAATGAGAATTTGACTCAAAAGCGGTGCAGATCTGGCCAGAGAAATTGTGGCAAGAATATTACGAATTATGTTTCCCACAATTCCGATAGTGACACAGAGCGCAGAGAATGAGTTATTCAATATTACCGCTTCTAAATTTGACTACCTCTGTGAGAATAGTTATCTTAGTGGTTTCCACAGGAATTCAGTAGTCTCCAATGAAGAACACCTCCCAATGTAGTTGAACACAGGTGTTTTAAAGACTGTGGATGGCTACTTACTGGGCCGACTAGCCCAAACGATGAATTACAGACACCAGTCAGTCATCT